CAGAATCGAACACCAGCACACTTCCACGGCTTTGGAAGATCGCAAGAAACGTTGGCAAATTCCTTCTCAGCTGGACCGTGTGACGTCGCGTCACCGCTAGTTTGGTTAGCGAAGCATAGTGCTTATACATTATGCTATACTAGTCAATCTGGTGCATTAAAAGTACAACGTCGTCCCACAACACTGATCGTGAACTTGCAAAGCACTCGCTGCTCCACTGCGACTCAGATGCATGAGGCGCCGGCTATGTAAGGCGGTGTCTGACATACGATTTCACCGTACCCCATAGTGTCGGCTGTCTTACCTGTTTCGTGTGACTTGACATCTAATCAATACACTGTTCAGTGCGGTTAAAATATTTGTTCTGACGGCTCTAAGCCCCAGTAAATGCGATCAGAAGACATTAGGTCGCCAGAACTGACAAATAAAAGAACACCTTTCGCTTGAGCCCACTCAAGTGAGAGCAGGTAGTGATGAAGTCAAAATCGTGAGGAACAATTTCGTTTTTCTTTTTGCTGATTATTTTTGGGGTCGGATAATATACGGACTTACGATTTTGGACAAATTTGACGTTGCAACGTCATGCTGTCGACTTATATACGAATTGGCATACACACGGTAATATACGGTAGTCATTCACCGAATCACCGCTAGTTTTTGTGCACTTAGGCAGTGATGACAAACAGACACCTATTAGCCCCGCGCCACTTAGAGGCTTTCAACGAGCCAACCAGTCAGACCGTTCACATACGGCTACTGACTGAGATCCAATCAATCAGAGCAGCCTCAGTCCGGGGACTCAGGGCAATATTCACGTCGGATTGACCGACACTCGAAGCTGCATCATCACCGGATAGACGCAGTAAGAATGCACTGCTAATATCATCAGAAGGCGATCGTAAGCGATCAAGCACAGAGCTTCAGTCTTGAAGGCGGGTTTCCGACAGGCAGCAGATATCGATCGAGAGGGTCTCTAAGGTCTGGGCAAGTGATATCTGTTGATCGATCTGTAACAATGTGTGTACGTTGGGGCATGCCAAGCCGAAGGAGTTGGAGAGCTCCAAATAGAAGCTGATGAACTGGGGTTGTCGACAGGGAAGGAGTGACGCTTCGCGTTCGCATGTGAGGTTATTCAAGAAAATAAACGCCTACCAAAACACGGAGGGGAAGCGCCAAGTAGTGGGGGGTTGAAAGCAGGTGAGATAAAAACGAAGTTGGAACGGGACGATAAGAATGATTTGCGCAAGAGGGGGAATAAGAAGACGGGAGGGCTTGAGCAGTAGCATCCTTACCCCCTACCCACCATGTACGATGCAACAGATAGGGCGTCGGCGATTATCCTTTGCGAGGTCCACAGCATCAAACCATTAGAAGAAAAATCCGTTGTATTGTGTGGGCAGGATACTGTCAGGTTGCTCAGGCCTAGACATGAGTACAATTAGAGTTCTGAACCATAAGCATTGGTTCAGAAACCTGAGCGCAAGGCGCCGGACTACAAGCAGTCCGTTATAAGGAGTAAGGAGCCACCCTCACTCCAACCCCCAATCTCGAGGTCCAGGAGGCCGAGTTCGTGTGGCCTCTAACCATCGATCTATCTGGTATGAGTGACCATGAAGGCGCGAGAAGCACTAACCAGTACAGCTCAATAGATCACTGGAGCACGCAAACCATCACACTACGGTAAGGTCCAGCTTCACTGCGATGGACGCAGGCTACAACAAGTCTAGAAAAGCACCAGACGGCCGTTCCGACATTCCGGGTCGCGTCAGTGTTGTGCGTTCCTCGGACCCCTTGCAGGTTCTGACCTTATGACTTCCGGATGTCAGCAGCTTATGCCATTAGGCCATGGGCGACGGTGGCAGACATGCGTCACTAATAGTTAACTACCACAAAACGCATAAGAGTATTGTTCAACGCCATGCAGTGCACTATAACTCGCGCGTCCAGACGATGCGCCGTATAAGTGGAGGCATCTGAGCTGGAGAACAAATCTGACGAGTACCGGATGGAGTAAAGACGCCAGTAAAACTCCCGGGCAAAAAATAACCACCACAAGTTGGGAACGGAGTAGTTAAGGGCTTATGCATGTATGGTATGTGCTTTGCCCCACAAAATGCAAAGTGTTGGCATAGGATCAGCAGAATGCTCTCCGGCAGCTCGCCGTGGAAAACACGCGGCTTGAGCAGATGGATAATTTTGTTTAACTTAGAAGCAGTGTCCCTAGTGACGGAACTTTTGGAGAGGTGTCTATCCGTATCGCTAAAACCCGCTTGGCCTTACCCAATCTGAGACACTTGTGGCGTTGTCGCGACATCTCACTTTTGCCAAAGGCAGGAAGTTCAATGCCTGTGTTTGCGTGATACTTTGTATGGATGCGAATCCTGGCCGATCCGTGTGGATGACATGCGTAGGCTTTCGGCCTTCGACAAAGGCTGCATGCGGAAGATCACCGGTGTATAGTACCAAGACCGGGTATGTGATGATGATATCAGACAACGCGTCTTTGGCAAGACGGATAACCCGCGCTATGAGCTTGTTCTACTGACAAGTTGAGATTGCTTGGCCACGTCCTGCGCATAGCTGGTGAGAGGTAGCTACGCCGCGCCATGTTTGTGCATGCAGGGCTGCAATGGAAGAGGCTGCGTCAGGCCAGCCGACCACCAGGCGATAAGGCATCAAATCGCTGACATTCAGTTCATCAATTGCTAGTCCGACACGTCTTCTTGATTTGGGACAGAAGAGGAAGAACGCCGATGGTTTACAACATTCGAAACAAGGACACAAAACCGGTTGCGGCAGAAACAATGCATGAGGCGTGCGTGAACCATGAATGTTACAAGTATTAACTCCTCAAAATTGGTCAAAAACAAAACAAAAAACGGGGTGTGGAAAAGACAAAAGATTGTTGTTTTATTTACATATGGTTGGCGGCATCCGGTTTCGGATTTGCCTGTCACTGTGGCCAGCCACAGGACGCCTGCGCCTACAGAGGGACCATGGGTGGCTTGCGCTGCACCATCCACAGCTCCAACCACACACCCCATATCCAGTGTAAACCCGAAGGAATAAGACCGGGAGGCATGTGGATGGGAGCCACGTTTCATCAACGGAGCCGGCCCACACTCCTTCACATGCAAACACAAGCACGCTGTAGTTGGGAAATCAAGCGCACACAAGGCGGTGGCTGGACCGTAGTCCGCTCCACACTGAGTGCATGGAACCGCTCTTTGAGCCTAGCACGGCCACAAGGACCGTGCACCCCGTCCCCTCCAGCAACGACCAACTGTCTCCTGGAGCCAGTATGAACGAGGTAGTGGGTAATAGACAGGTAGGCACCTTGTCAACACGCACATCAAGCGCAGCCACACCGGGGATATCAAGCAACAGCCATTCACTTTAAACGATAAGCTGAAATAAAATAAATCCAATAATGCATACAGATACGGTGGCATAACTCTTCCCTAAATTACCATATGAAGTAAGTTGGTTAGCAACGAATCCACGATAAGTAAGAAATGTCCACAAGTTACTTAAAAATGCTACAAACACAACAAAATTACCGAAGGTTAGCACAATTAGCATAAGCAACGTGGCCAGTTAATAGAACATTATTCAGGTAGGCAGAACAAACCAAATAAAGTGGAATGAAATTTATCCAGCTTAAAAAGACCTAGTTTAAGTGTAAGTTGGTTTAGCCCAACTGTGGTGAAGAAGCATCAAGAATGCAACATCAGCGTCAGTATGGGGCACACATACATACATGGTTGGCGGCATCCGGTTTCGGATTTGCCCATCACTGTGGCCAGCCACAGGACGCCTGCGCCTACAGAGAGACCATGGGCGGTTTGCGCTGCACCACCCACAGCTCCAACCACATGCCCCATATCCAGTGTAAACCCGAAGGAATAAGACCGGGAGGCATGCGGACGGGAGCCACGTTTCATTAACGGAGCCGGCCCACACTCCTTCACAAGCAAACACAAGCACACTGTATTTGCGGAATCAAGCGCACACAAGGCGGTGGCTGAACCGTAGTCCGCTCCACACTGAGTGCATAGAACCACTCTTCGAGCCTAGCACGACCACAAGGACCGTGCGCCCCGCCCCCTCCAGCAACGACCAACTATCTCCTAGAAACAGTATGGACGAGGTAGTGGGTAATAGACAGGTAGACACCTTTAAAATGTTTTGGAAAACTGGTAGCTCGGGTTGATAATTCAATTGCTCATTTGTTCCCCGAGCTGCGAAATTGGGTAGAGATCACGGGACTCGGATCAAAGCCGTCACTTCCGAAATGTCACCTGCACGAAGATCACGGGTCGACAATTCAATCAGCGAGATTACACTGCATATCTCGACGCACTGATGATGCCGTCTCGCATGACGGTGAAACGTTTGCAAACCAATTTCGCAGCTCGGCGAACAAATGAGCAATTGAGGTAGACACCTTGTTAACATGCACATCAAGCGCAGCCGCACGGGGATGTCAAACAACAGCCAATCACTTGAAATAACAGTAACAAATAAAATATATCTGTTAAAGAATACGGCTATGCAGACATAACTCTTCCCTAAATTAGCATACGAAGTATACTGGTTAGCAACGATTCCGCGATAAGTAAAATATGTCCAGAAGGGACTCAGAAAATGCTACCAAGCAATAAAGTTAACGAAGATAAGCACAATTACCGTAAGCAACGTGGAAGTTTAATAGAAGATTATTCCGGTAGGCAGAACAAATCAAATGAAGTGGAACGAAACTTATTCAGATTAAAAAGAGACTTAATTTAAGTGTAAGCTGGTTTAGCCCAAATGCGGTAAAGAAGCATCATGAATGCTACATCAGCCTCAGCATGGGGCATATATATATATATATATATATATATATATATATACATATATATATATATATAGTGTTAACTCGAATTCTTGAAATAGGCATGAATACTGCCAACCAACAATTTCAAACTATGGACAGCAAAGGGCGATCCAAAACTTACTCAGTTCCTCAGCGAGCGTCACTCGCCTGCCGGTGATTAGCTTGCGAAGGGCGACTGGATCGTTCGACAGTTCTGAGAGCACTTGTTTCACATAGTGCTCCAGGTGTCGCGCTGTGGATGAGAACACAAAGAAGCGCGGTCACAAGATGTATGAAGGGATGCGATTGCGGAGTGGAGCGTTGTGATATGTGAATAGATTATGGGCGATGTGTTAGTTGAGTACATCAGCAACTGAAGAGAAAGTTGAGAATGCTCACAGAATACATCTAAATGCACGTAGTGAAGACGTGTGGTCTGAACACACATAAAGGCTCAACAAGTTATGAAGATTGGTATCGCGTTCAATCACTAAAATCGAGTAGCTCTAAGAAGGGATCCGTGCACCGGATTGACGATAAGGCTGCGAATAGACATTGAGTCAACAAAAACCATAGAAAGTAAAGGCACAGCTGTGAAAAAGAAAACGGAACACGATACAGAGAAATCTAGTAAGACTGGAACCATTGTCCGGCCTGTGGTCTTAAGGATCGTAAGCCTGCCTTATAATCCTGAGGTCGCGAGTTCGAGCATGTATAGGCGGCAGGGCGACTTTCGCAGTATCCTTAACCAGCGCGCGGCTGTTGATGATTGCGCGCCAACGAAGCGTCGGTACTGCTGATACTCATTGTCGGTGCACGGAGATGGCAACCCAGAACACAATGCTAAACGCTGTCTTCATACGTACACCAGGGAGAATAAAGCCACGAAACAACGAGGAGCATGGGTGCCGAAAGTGCCAAAGTGGCGGGCATGTGCGGTTGCAACGTGCAGAAGACAGGACTAGAGCCCAGAGAGACGATTTTCATTGATCAGCTGTCATTCATCCGACGGGACGCCAAGCCAGGTCTAGCGATTATTCGTTTTTGGAGAATAGCACAAGGAAGCTGGATCGGTTGGATAGTCACGACAACTGCTTCACCCCCCTGAGGCAGTGGCTTTAGTCACCGTTTCATAAGAGGCGCCTTTTGGTCTTTCGTCAGGCAGATGAAGGAAGCACTGCTGATGAAGCGTGAATGGACGAAAGGGCCATCTATCGCTTGTCCACATGCGTAGTGAATGTCTGATAGTGTAAGTAAGATGAGTTACTTTTGAAAGTAACCACAACTCGCTAGAAACTAAGTGTGTTGCAATCGGGCGGAGCTCGTTTCAGAGCACGCAGCGTATATATCACTGAGCGAGGTTTAGAAACTAGAAAAACGAATTCAACAAATTCCACCATCCAGTCGACAGCTAGAGAACGATGTCCCTAATCCTAATGTCGTACCAATTTGCCATGCACAACGAGACAGGAGCTTTGCCGGTAAAAAGGAAGTTGCATAGGGAATTCGATTGCAACAGATTGATTTAGGTAGTTCCCATGGCAAAAATCAGCGGGCTAGAGCAATTCAGTGGTGTGTCGAAGCATAAGCGGAGTTTTACATGAAACAAATAGACGAGTTCGACGACAGCTACCATTACCATTCCGCAGAATTCAGGGCGATCGAACTAACCTTCATCATTCATGATCTGTTGCCGGAGAGCATTACTGGTGGCCTCGATCATCCGCATAAGCCGGTAGAATAGAACCACCTCGCGGCAATCGGAGAATTCCTCGGACAGAGTGCGATTCGACTGACCTGCGCCGTTCAGCTGAGTCTGCAACTTCGAATCCATTTTGGTCGCTTGATCGGAATTCAACTCCGCTAATGGAGTGGACGAACTAAGGAAGCCTTGCTGATAGTAGTAATAACTTTTGCGGCATTCGTAGCAAGTAAACAACGCTCGTTCTAAGTAGACACGGCGAACCAAGGGGATCCAGGTCTCGCTGATCTGCGAAAGAAGGGAGTAAGAAGGAGGGAAAAAGATGATAGACAAAATATCCGGCGTGTTTGCCAGTGATCGAGGAAAGTCGAGAATTCGGACAATACCAATCACATCACTACAAATATCGGGATGGAACGCCCCACAATTATCTCACCATGAAGGGCATGCAGCGACATGCAGTAGACGGCATAAAAGAAGCCAAACCAGCTGTCGGGTTTTCAGATGAAGCGATTGATATTTCATGCCTATCCCCATGTGGCAGTTCACAAGGTGAAGAGAGATGGAGTGTCGACTAATTAAAAACCACTGTATCGGATCGTGGGTTCAGGGATTACAAGTCATTGCAAGGTTAGTGATGAATTGAATCCACAACACTAGTCTCTGAATGATGTGCAGGATGGACAACCGGCCCACACAAATGAAATCAGCGACCAGGCCGCAGTGAGCCATATCAGAGAGTTCTTCGAGTGTGGCGATAGCAAGGAGACAATACAACTCGCTAGTTTCAAACACTAGATCACCTAGGTAGGTAGGCTATCGGGAAACTTTCTAAGTGTACAACGGTGCACTGAAGCCTGTTACAGGATGGACCAGAACTGATCATTGAGGACTGAGTACGTTAAGGAAGTGGACATCTTTGACCGTAAGCGTCAACGCTGCACCGCTCGTGTTTAGTGGGATCATTGAGTGAGCAATGTGGGAATTCGCCAACCGGCGCGTAGTAACAAGTTTCCTGGCTCTACAGTGGATTGCTCTGAGCTTGGACCACTTACATTGGGTGAATCATGTTGTCCAAACGCTCATCAACCGCATGCCATGAGGTGTATTGCCCACAAATACTATGCCTAGTTGGGCGAGACTATGGAGCGGTCAGCTAAGTACGTATGAAAATATATGAAGAAAATGATCGAAAAACTTATATATACGCCATCTTCATGAATAGGGCTCGCGATAATGGTTTCACAATCTGACGGGATGCGCACGTCAAATTAATGATGCTCCTGTGTTAGATCTATAGTTACTCGCCAGTTAAGGAGGATAGCTTCTTGTGCTCCTACCCCCTTTCCTTTTCCGAAATTGTTGGTTTTATGACGAGGAAGCTCGTAAACAATTGGATTTATCGCCACGCATGGGTGTTCACCTCGCTGCTCCCATACCACGGCTGGGAAACTCCGAGGTCGGTTGGGAACACAAGTGCATCATATTAATCTTCAAGAATTCTCCGTTGTCTGGTAGAAAAATTAACATGTCAAATTTAGAAGTAACCAAAAAGCGGTTCCTCGCCGTCATGTGAATAGAGTCTCGTCATATGATATTACGGCCGAACAAGGAGTATGAGCCGCCGGTCAGTATCAAATTATCGAGCTGCCCGGTGGGGACATAGCATGCCTCGTAGTGGAGTCCGATTTCATTTCCTACAAGAGTACGAAGTAGAAAGTTGAACAGTTCCCTAGTGCACTTACCAAGGAGTCGCTGACGCTCACATTCCGGGTTTGTAGGTTGCGTCGGATGGTGGTCAGATCATCGGCCGTGATGTGTGGACTTGGTTTCTATTGGAAGAGAAGAAGAAATCTGAGACGGTCAGCGCAAGATACCACTTAAGATGAAATCAAACGAAGAATGGGTGTGTAGGAAAAGACAGCAATGATGAATAAGCGAATAAAAGGACGCACTTATAACGATAGTGTTAAGGTTTATGTGATTTGCCGTAGTTAGAAGCACGCTAAACGAACCCCAAAATAGAACCATCATTGCCCTAGTAGCTGAGGGATTTAATGGGGCGATATGACCCATGAATCAATGGAGTAAAAGAAGCGGCAAAGAGTAGCGCACAAAAATTCCGACACGAGAGGAGGTTGGAATGCCCTGCCTAATGAGAAGTGCAAAGTTAAGAATTCGTATACAAACATAATAGAAGGCATGCCCACACTCAGAGTTTGCACAACCACACTCGCTGGATAGTGTGGCTGGCTGGTGTACAACTGAGGACAATCTGAGCGGTGGTGGCATGGCTGCCATCACGAGAAACTCATGACCATTGACTATTAGAGAAGAGGTTAAGTGGTGTTCAGAGAGGAATCATGGGTACGTGCAACATATTCGTCTAACTAAAGCCACTAAATATAAAGGCTCAGCAACGACGTTGGGTGGAGAGACAAGGTTCACATCAATACGATCCATACAGTGTGGTAAGGACTCGATCAGCCGTTCCACCTGAATGGACAAGTGATTTAGATGTAAGTGACTGTTCCCTGTGGTGCGCGTGGAACCTAAATGAGCCTTTGACACCAGATATAGCGAATTTGGTGCAGAACACATGCGCCGCAGCGATGGCTAATCCAATTCAATCACAGCTTCTCGTCAAATGTAAGATGCGGGGACGGCTAATAGGTATAGAGAAAACGGCTCAGGGTAGGTGCCATGTATACAGGGGATGCGAAATAAAAATATAGGGGACAAGTATCATATATACATATATTTAGGTGATAGCAACTGTCTATACAATAGACATAGAGCCGCCGAAAACCGTGAAATGGAGGTGTCTAATAGGTACAAAGATCATGAAGTGGGAAGAATACAAAGAACACCGTTTTGTCATTCCTATGAGTTCGTTGTTGAACTGTAGAGTAAACGCATTAACTCATGCAAATCTCCCTCCGCCCCTGATTAGACGCCACGTCCTCCTCAAGAGTCTCCGACCAACGATGTCCTTCATCTTTGTCTCACCAGCCCAATATATGAACGGGGACGACAACAGCTAGACTAGAAGTAAGCGCCTTGAGATTTAGTCGCCACGTGGTATGTCGGTCACCGGGCGAGTTCTTCCAGTGCGGTCCTGCGTGAGCGAACAGAGCGCGCCTTGGGAAACGCTAGCACAGCAAGCGTAAGAGGTGACCCAGCCACCCCAGCTGGCGCAGCGGTATTAGCTTGTCAACAGGGAGGCCCGTATTACCCAGGACGCGACGTCCAACATCACCGTTGCATACGTGGTGTTCGCACCATACACGAGCTATCCTCCGCAGTCAACCGCTGTTAAAGGCCGAAATCCAACGCAAATCAGTTACACGGATCGACGAGGACTCGCGTCCGCACAGCAGCACCGTGCGAACACAGGCATTGTTGACCCTGCCCTTGACCGAGATTGAAAGATCCGGAGGACGTCACAGTGGCGAGACAGGATTGACCAACATTCCCCTTCTTGCGAAATTGCACTATGGACCATATCTTGAAGAGTGCTCTGGAGAACTGCAAACCCAGTGGCGTCGGGCTACTTCCCTGGGATCGACTCCGCGATTTGAAGTCTGTAGACGACATCGCCGTAATATGCGATTCCTCACATGCCACGCAAAATGTCCTGTGTAGATTGGAGGTATCTGTTTCCCAGTTTGAAGTGTAAGGTCTTCACAAAGAACTGCCTAGGCGCTTCTCCCACTCTTAACCTTTCAGATCAAGTCACTTACTTCGAAATTTGCCTCTGCGCTAAGGGTTTAACGGATGAGGTCTCTTTACGTATCTCCAAGAATGGAGCTACTTTTGCTAATCTCGGCCATCCATGGCATCGAAGTGATCTGAGTTTCGTTCTGGAGGGCCGAGTTTACAATGACACGGTAAGAGCGGTCCTGTTCTATGGCTGGGAGAATTGGCCTATTCGCGCAAAGAATGTTGAGCGGCTGTCTGTTTTTGATCACCGCTGCCTTCGGAGCATTGCTGGTGTACGATGGCAACATCACACTAGCAATGAGGATGTGCGACAGAAGACTTTCAGAGAGGTTTGGCCAGCCACTGAGCAGCCTAATTTCACTGCGCAGACTTCAGTGGCTATATTATGTGCTTCGCACACCCACACATCCTTCACCACGCCGTGCCTTCTTCGTGCGCGCAGAAAGCGGCTGAAATCAAAAAAAAGATGGCCAACGTATGACTTGGGCCAGAGGTATGAAGGAGTTAACCTCAAAGTTAGCCGTGGTTAAGCGCTCCCGACTACCTGGTTGGGAGCACAAAGATGGCGAACACGCATGACTGGAAACCCTTGCGGATATGGCAAGAAATCGTGCGCAATGACGGACATGTTGTGACACTCCATTCCGATGAACAATGCTTTGCATTCTATATCTCGGAATAGGCTTGTAACCGACTAGGATCTCATGATTTCAGGTTTTTATTGCAGCAAGGTTTCGCTCTTGACACAAAAGCTTCTTCAGGTTAGATGAATCGGTACACAATTGGCTTAGCTTTTATGGGAAACTGGGGTGAAGATTGCACGAAATAACACGAGTCTTTGGATAACAGTGCTACAGGTCAATAGGGCAAGTGGTCATTCTAGTGTAACAAATTGCATCGAACGTTCCTCATTGATCCGCATCATCGATCGTTCAGAAGTGAAACATTCTTGTTCATCTTGTTGCTGGTTCACGCTCCGACCCGAGTTCGTCCGCTGACACCTTCTCTGACTGGCCGGGCTAGCACAGCCCGCCATGCGTTGGATAATTCCACCCCGTCCGTTCTGTTCACACAATTATTGGTCATAGCAATCTCAACTGTCTCAGCAATTAACCTTTGGCATGTTGCTCGTAATCTTCGCTTACGTATCTCGACATTGTCCAAGTCAATCTCGTGTACCGCGTCTAGTGCGTGTACGGCCACCGCTGAATCCCTAAGTAGGGCTCTGTATGCAGGCTGATTCCTCAGTGGACGTGAAACGTACCTCTTGTATTCTGCCATCCTCGTGCGTAGCTTTCTCTCTGTTTGACATGTAAAATTGCACACAGGCTTTGCAACTGATTCTATGTACGCAATTGGTCGTCCTATCTCTTGGAAGCGGATCCTTCAAACGCACCAGTGCTAAACGGAGCGTTTGATACTTTTTCAAGACCATTCTTATTTTTTCACCTGATTGCTTCTGAGGTTCTTTTTTATAGGGGATCCCAACCGTCCCAATCCAACCCGCTGTGTCGCGGTGGATTTAGAACTCTCTGCGACTAGCGTTTCATTAACCGCCTCGGATATCTACCGTCCATTAATTTGCTCATCGTCTCCTTAAGAGCGGCCTTCCTGTCGTTTTCCTCTGTACGCAGAGTGTGGGATCTGTGAAACACAGAGAATACGATAGCAGCATAGACTTGTTTTGGATGGTCCGAACTGAAACGGCGTACTCCGTCTGTATCTGTCGGCTTGCGATATATCGTCGCCCTTAACCGTCCACCGTGTTGTGTCCTCAGGGGTTCGACTTAGCAGCTTCTTAAATTGCGCCACGCGAGTCAAAAGACAACCCACCGGACGAGAAGTATATTTGCGAAACACAGAACGGGCCGACGTGGGAATGAAAACACACCGATTACAGTTCAAATCACGGCTGTGTGCTAGTTTGAATTTATCGATCTCAAAGAATCACGGGACGTGTGAGTGGTATGAAACAAGCGATAGTAACAAATGTTCTGCAACACAGAAAAGCACTGGTCTGCTTGTAACTGAGACTGCTGTGATACAATGCACACGGTTACTTGGGGAAATCGCGCACTTACCTTCCCGAACAAGTCAATTTGTTTCGTTTCTGTGCACACTTGATTTCGGTCCATGTGAAATTCCTTTTTCCATGCGTCACAAGATTTCGTCTGAATCAGTGGTGCCAACTCCACTTGATTCTCAGACAGCGTAATTTTCCTCGGAGCAGACCGTTCGAGACCTAACACACCGTTCCTATGAACTAGGTACTCAAGGAATGGCAGTGTGCCACTGCAAGATTCAAATATCATAGTAAAGCTTATATTCCCATTAATGGAGTTCAGATGGTTTAGAAACTCATCCTTCATATCCTGCTTATAATCCCAAATGTATCATCTACGTAGCGCCACCAAACTTATGGTGAACTACTGGAATTTGTCAGCGCCCTCCTCTCAGTCTTCCATATAGATATTTTCCAACACAGCTGATATTGATGGTCCCATGGCAAGTCCGTTCATGAGAGTACAGTCGCGATCGAAACGTGAAATATGACATATTAAGGCATAATCAAATTCCTTCGGTTATCTGGTCTATCGTGCGTTTCGTTCGCTCCCCCAGGCTATTGTCCTCCATCAGACTACGCTGTGCTACCCACAATGAGTCATCTTTGGGCATGTCGAAACTAACCATTATTTCGTCTGACGCGATGGTCAGACCTGATATCTTTCGTGCGAACTCACAAGAGCTCCGTACGAACATATTTGTTCTCCCTGTTAGAGGTTGAAACAAACCTGCCAAATATCGGGCTAGTTCGTGCGTCAGAGAACCGATACAAACTACAATGGGCCGAACGGGAACATAGGGCTTATCTATGTTCGGCAGCTCATAGATCCTAAGCGGAATCGTTAAGTTCGGATATGTCATATCATTTACTCGGCCATAAGTTGTCCTTCACAGTCCTCAGGTAGTTTCCCAGCGCAGTTTTACTCTTATTCATCGTGGACGATACGGATATTTCCTCAATTACTTTGTAAGACCCAGCCGCTAAATGCGGTCCCACATTTTTCACGTAAGCTGATTTGTTCATTATCACAAGGATCTTGATTTT